TCTTATGGTCATTATTTGGGCATCTTTATTTCAACTCAAATGCTTTGCCATGCACTTGTTACTAGTCTAATAAAATATGCTATCTTTCCTTTGAAAATAACACCTATCCATTCATTATTCTCATTTTTTGTCTGCCATACAAATAGGAGAAATGTGTGATCGTATTTTATTGGTCTTGGACTTAAAATAATGAAAAGAAAAACAAACATGAAAGATCTTAGCATTACTTTTTAAAAGTTGACAAAGGCAAATGAAAAAGGAAGAGAAAAGCAAGACAAGACATTGATGTTGTAGACTTTTGAAGAAAAGTATTAGTAGGGAAGAATTCAATGGTCAGATGTTAAGAATAGATTGATCATATGGCAATTGTTAAGAATTCTGATAAAAGAAGCAAAACGCAAGAGATTTCGAGAACCTTTTTACCACAATGAATAATTCTGATTATATTACATGCATTGCATTTAGAGCACTCGGTATATGCATCCATGAATAATGAGGACAGAGACTTTTCATATCCTAATCAGATAAAAGGTTTCAAAAGAGAGAAATTTATTTGATAAGAACTCAATTTTGAGAACAGATGAGATTTTAAAGTTGTTGAGCCTCTGCTGAGAGGAGCTTTTTCTAAAATAAATTTTTAAAGTTGTTGAGCCTCTGCTGATATGAGCTTTTTCAAATGGATTTTTAAAGTTATTTAACCTCTGCTGAGAGGAGCTTTTCTAAATAAATTTTTAAAGTTGTTGAGCCTTTGCTGAAAGGAGCTTTTCTAAATGGATTTTTAAAATTATTGAACCTCTACTGAGATGAGCCTTTCCATATAAGATTTTAAAGTTGTTAAGTCTTTGCTGAGAGAAACTTTTCCAAATGGATTTTTAAAGTTGTTGAGCCTCTGCTGAAAGAAGTTTTTCCAAATGAATTTTTAAAGTTATTGAACCTTTGTTGAAAGGGGCTTTTTCTAAGATGAGATTTTTAAAATTGTTGAACCTCTGCTGAGAGGAGTTTTTTTTTAGATTTTAAAATCTTTAAAAGTTATTGAGCCTCAAGTGAGAGGAGCATTTTCGATTTGATGAGAAAAACTTTTTGAGTAGTTTATGTTAAAAAAAAAGGAGAAAAGAAAAGAAATATCTCTTTGGATTTCTGACAGAATTATTGTCTTTGTCTTTACCCTATTCTTGATTTTCAGCAATATGTAAAGATGGACAACTATAGACATCAAATAATAAATAAAATAATAACAATATTATTAAATGCAATAATAAAAAATACAAAATACCAAAAAAAAAAATAAAAAAATAAGGGATGGCAGTGGTGCCTTCCCCGGCACCACTACCACCATACCTTACCACCCATCCCTCACTCGTACCCTGTTCACTACCCTAGCCTAGGCTCCTAGCCATCCTACCCTACCACCAGATGATACAGAAGAAATAAAAAGGCATGGGGCTAATGTTTGCACCCCTATGCCTAGCCCTATGCCACTCCCTTAGGCACAGGGCACTGTCGGAGCTCTATAAATAGAGTTCTTAGTCGATCGAAAAGAGGAAGCTGTAAAAAAAAAAAGAGTTTTCTGTTTAAAAAAAAAATTTCAACATAGTCCTCCCCGTAGGAAAGAACCTAACGCTAAGAAGCTTCTTACACAAAGAAAAAAAATCAGTTTAAAAAAAAAAGAAAGAATAAAAAAAATTGAAACTTCAAGAGCAAATCTGGGGATTTTGGGACTATTTTTGGTGAAAATGAGGTAGATCTGCATTTAGAGGATTGAGGAAAACATTTTAGGTGATTTTGGTTTTTTTCCAATCACCGACGACAGCGATCGATGACTAGCGACGGCGGTCGATGACTGGCAATGGCAGCGATGACGGCGATCGATCGGCCATCTGCGTTTGGCTGAATGGAAAAAAATGGGTTTTTTTCTAGAGAGGGAAGACAATGACTGAAAAAAATTGGACCTTTTATATAAGCTATCAATAGTCAAAACGACGCCATTTCAATAAACGCCCAAAATGACGTCGTTTTAACTCCTGAGGATCCGCGCGTCAACTCGTGACTCGACCTAGGGTCTGTGCACTCAGCCCGCGACTTGCATCTCCTTTAGCCCTTGACCGCTCCATCCGAACCGCTGAAATTGAACCGGATCGTCCTGAATCGCTGACACCAGATCGAACCGCCGGACAGAACCTGCATTCAACGGTCCGGTTTAGGTGTAAATTTTTTTTTTTGAATTTTCTATTTTTTATATATTATTTTATTAATATTTATGCATATTAAAATATTTATATTTTAGATTTAATGATAAAATTTTTAATTTTGTTAATTTTTTAATAAACTTTAAAAATAAAATAAAAAAATAATTTTAATAATAATACAAAACTAATAAAAAATGTAGGAAAAAGAAATTTTTATCTGACGATAAGATTCAAAGGTATTTCGAGTAGTGATACCTACGAAATCTTTAGGTGAGAAGATTTTTTTTAAATACTACCAGTGTATTGGAATATTTATAAAAAGTTTTTTAATAAAAATAAAATTTTTTCTTTTTTTTATTATAAAATGATAATAATAAAATTAACTAATAAACAATATAAAAATAAGGAAAAAGGAAATTTTATCTAATAATGGGACTCTAAAAATATTTCGAGTAGTGATACTTTATGAAATCCCTAGGTGAGAAGTATTTTTTTTAAATATTACTAGTGTATTGGAATACTTATAGAAAATCTTCAATATAATAAAATTCCTTCAAAATTTTAATAAAAAAATAAAAAAATTAATAAAACAATAAATAAAATTTCTAAAAGAGAATAAAATGTGTGCATCAACGTGATAATATTCTGTATTGCATGCACAAATATTTTTTTACAAAAAATAAATTCGAGCCTCCAAGGATGAGATTCTAAGGTATTCCAAAAAGTGATACATAAGAAATCTCTAAGTGAGAAAAAATTCTTCTAATGTTACCAATGTACTGAAACATTTTAAGAATTATTTCAATAAAAAAAGTTCTGATTTATCTTTCTTGAATAAAAATGGAACAACAATTAATAAATAAGAAATAATTTTCAATAAAAATCAAGAAAAATTATTTTTCTAATATTGAAAATGAGACTATTTTTTTACCAAAATCAAATGATAACACATAATTAATTGATACCGTTTTAAAGCGGGATTGTGGGGGTGCTAATCCTTTCCTACACGTAATCGACTATTGAATCTAGACTGTTACACAGATCCTAAAATTATCCTTTTAATAAATTTTAATTAATTTCATTAAAAAGATATGTTTTAATAGGTGACCAATTACACCTAGCCAAAAAAGGGATTGGTGGCGACTCCAGTGTCCGTTACTTTTTTTATTTCGTTTTCAAATTCGTCAGGCGGATACAAAACTGTTACCACAAAATCGGTTTTGACTATTTTTACACCCAACTCGAGTAGTTTGCGTCTAATTAAGTTTTTATATTTAAATATATTTTTATTATTTTAATTAATAAAATATATCGAACTCAAGTTCGAGCTTGAGCTCGAGCTTAAGCACAAATAATCAAGATTATTTTTACATGTTAATCGAGCTTAATCGAACGAACTCGAGTAATTCGATTTCTATTTCAAGTCGAACTCAAGCTAAAAAAATAAAATTCGATTGAGTTTGAGCCGAATTTCAAATTTTAAATTAAACTCGAACTTAAATTTAATACTATATCAACTTAAACTCGATCGATTACACTTATAATCATTAGCAATCTTTTTTTTGCGGTTTTAAAGCTTTTCGTCTCTTTTGATACTGTGATCCATAGTCAAAATTTTTCAGTCTTTCAAAAATTGTTTATGAGATCATGATGGTTGCTTTACCTATTCCTCCCATTCACCAAATTCCAATCTTTTGAACATCAAATCCCATCACACTATCCTTAATTATGATATTCCAATAATATTTTTTTTTTGGGATCTTTTTTTTTTTATTTGGAATCCTTCGATATCCATAATTACTTTTTATTCCTATTAATTAAGAGTTGAGTCAAATTGAATCCCTTAAGAAGAGCAAGTTCTCTCCACGCTTGATTTTTCTATTCATAAAATTCAAAATGAAGATTTTATTTATGGAAAACTGGGCTCCTTAACTATATGAACCAACAGAAGTTGGTAATTTTTTTTTTTTTTTGGGGGGGGGGGGGGGGGGGGGCGCGGGCGGCTGCTATACAGGTTTCCACGATCCAAGTGCTTTTTTCACGGATCTATTGCATTCTGGCCTTGCTTAGTTTGGCCTTTGAAAGGAAATAATGCTTTCTTCAACCTCTATCACCAAAAAACAGCTCTAAAGAATTAAAAAGATGGAGTCTTGGCCTTGCAACCCAGTTATTTGCTCTTAAATACTGTTATGCATTATCAATGCAATACTATTACTGTTACCAAAACCTAAAACCAAAGTGATTAGTTTCATCACATTCATTTCATTGCATGATCATAACATTGATGTTACTAAAGAACTATAAAATCAACCAAGTTAAAAATGCAAATCTTAACCAAAGAATCACGGTGAAAGAGGAAAATGAATAACATTTAATAAATGAAAGTAAATTAGATTTGTTTACCAAGTGTTAATCAATTTTTTTTTTATTTTTATATTTCTATGTTATAAATGAATCGAATATTAAATAATTTTCTTATATACATGATCTATTTGTTTAATTAAAAAAAAATCAAAATATTATTTTTGATCGCATTGTTAAGCTTAATAAAAAAAATATAAACGAATAAAAACCTAAATCTTTTCATGAATTATTTGTCAAATATTTTGTTTGTTTATATCCTATGCTTAACAGCTAAGTTCACTCGCCATCCACGTTCAGTTTGTTGGGTTCTCAACCGAGCCAAAAAAAAATACACACTCCGATACTTCCTTCCAATTGAGTTCTCAAATGAAGCATAAAAATATGGTATGGCAACATCTGAAATAAAAAACTACTTAAAAAAAAAGAGTAATGCATAAAAAGAAAAAGTCCTAGTATACATCTACAGGCAAAATGGAAGTACATTTTTTAAACAATTTCAGCATGGAAGAGGGGAAAGCCTTGGATTTCAACGACAGATTGAAAATCAGTATTAGGCATTAGAATACATTATATCAGAATTTACATATCGAATAAGGTCTAAACCCATGTCAATATCCTTGTATTTTATCAAATTCACTTAAAACCACCCAGAATCTATACTGACCACCAACATCCAAATGCAGCTCTCCTTCTCAATCCGGTCAAGAACTAGCAATATTGCAACATTCTAGGTAATAGATATATAATGCAGGAGTATAGAAAAGAAAGGCAGACCATAATGGTGATTGCATTAAATTACTTTCAAAATTAAGAATGAACATTGACCAGTGACTACAAAATAGAGTCTGCTACTTACAATTTTGAATTAGTTGGGGCATTTGTTTCATCTTGAACATTGCCATTTAGTAACAACCTAAACTTTAGAATCTTCTGAAGTCGGGCAACTGGCTTTAGTTGCTTTCTTGGAGTTTGGTTTGGATCTATTACACATTTTCCTGAGAAGAGATTTGCTTCTGATGGACCTGTCTCTTCATGAACTACAGGGGAAGCTTCTGCAGAGAATAATGGATACATATATTCTTAATTTAAAAAGGAAAAATGTTTGAGAAACAGAATAAACATAAATACAATGGAATTGGGACAGTAATAAATAAAAGGGTCCATCCTATAAACCAAACGAGAAAGTCACGGAAGCACTTTTCCCAACCAACGTGATATGCAATTGAAAGAGGTGAACAGAATGAGCTTGTATGAATACTAACAAACCAAACCCATGCCTTATCATTAAACTAATCTGGGCTTGAGGCGGGAATGCCACAAGGAAAAAAAAAAAACTGACAACAGGGAGCTACATGCTACTAATTTCATATGACCTCCTGCTCATAAGTTCCCCAATTGGTATAAAGGTTTAAAAAAAATTTAGAATAATAGACTCAACCTGACCAACCTCAAAGAGGTAGATTCTAATAGAATCAGTGGCCAAAAAGATTTTTTGCAGAACCTCTGCACCTAAGACATACAAAACAGGTAGCAGGTAAAAAAACCCATAAAAGAAAATAAAAGTAGTAAATCAAGAAAATCTGGTTCCAATAGTATGTTCACTGTTTTCATAGTTATTCTTCCACAGTTTATTGTTTACCATCATATAAAAACTAATGAAAGGAGATTTAAACTTACAATCCTCCTATGTATTCGGTAAGAACATGTAAAATGATAACAAAAGAGAAATGGGAGATAACTAATGACTACCCAATTAAGCTCAAAGTTAGTATAATAGGAAATGTTGCCCACCATCATCAGAGAAAACAAAGCAGGTCTTAATTGTTTCTTCATATCCTCCAATCTATAAATTGGAAAAGATATGAACTTAAAAGACAAAAATTTCTTGAATTTAAAACTTTCGCATGTGAAGTGATCGCTTGATATTTGTTAATATCAAATCAGAGAGTCAAAATGTAGCATAGCTTAGGGCTATTGTGGACCATGAAATCCTTAGTGCATGGTAAAATTTATGACAAACTAAATACTTTTGATAAATGCGTGAGAGGGATGAGTCTAATGAAATGGCAAAGAACAACAAGGAGAAAATGGCTGGCAGCAAGAACCATTTGGGTGCTAATAATTCTGAAATATAGATTATCTGGGTTGATTGTGAATGCTAATGATAAACATCAATAAATAAATAAAATGGCAGTCCCTAGTTGTTGTGTAAATATGGTCATCAATGAATAACACTTTCAAAACATAAATAACTTGGAACCTTTCTTGCTCAAGGTGTTACAAGATTTTGCAAGTTAACAACTCACCAGCTTCACTTTTTCATCTATGATTAATATTGGATTCATCTTATGCAGACCCTGAAATTCAATAACAACCTGATAATCACAATATGATCATAAAACAAAAACAACAATGAAATCTTAGGCAGAACTGTCAACAGAATACCGGTACATCAAGTAAACAAATATTCTTATCCAACAAATAATCAAGAAAACAAACACTATCCTCCATTTAACTGGAGTGAGGGGACTGAGAAGTGGGACACAAAAAAGGGTAGAGCAAGAGTGTAAGGATGTAGGCAGCGTCTAAGGCATACTTCTAAACATATTGTCAAAAGGTACAGTAATGCATTTCAATCAAACTAAATTTAAATTCAGCTGCAGCAGAGCTCCAATCAAAGACCCAAAGTGAGTGAATACTTCCATACACATATATATACACAAGTTTTGTATAAAGTGCATTTCATCCAACAACTATCACAAAGCAGGCATACATACATATATATATACACAAGCTTTGTATAAATTGAGTACTTCCATAATTAAAGCAGTTGCATGAATGTTACTGATTGTGAATGCCACATCTGCAGCAATTGATAAGGACACTATATTCACACCACCTCTAATTCAAATGTTCCAAAATGAGAGGAAAAATGGGTAATTTTTAGTGAATATCTTTTAATTACCTTGAATTAATTCCTTCTTTTACATAGATTGAAGCATAAATTTATTGGAGTTTGATTGTTGTGGTTTAGTATGGGAGGCCGCTATTTAGAGTTGTCCTGCTTTTTGAGGCCGCAAAGCTACGTGTGTGATTGGTTACTCTCATCTCCATTGAGGTGGATAGCGGCCGCTACACCGCTATTAAGCCGCTATTTGAAACCCTATGTGAGTGGGTTAATAATACTAACACAAATTCCATTCTACTTATCCGCAAGATTCGAACTCAAGCTTTAAAAAAATTAAAAACGTAGCTTTAGGTTTCAAATACTAAAATCAAGTAGCAAGAACAAAAACCCAGAAATCTAAAAACTTCACAGAATTAAAAAAACAGAAAAAACTAGAGATTCAGAGCTTACTGAAAGAGTGTAAGGTGCATTTGGAGGAAAATAAATCTGCCCAGAAACAGTATCAAGATCAAGCAGTACATACTCTGTCTCTCCTTCTTCTTCATGGTCATCACCCTACTTATTTTCCTCCATTACTTTAACACGCACAAATTTAAAAAAAAAAAATGGTGGAAGCTGTCGCTGTTTGATGAGGGTTTGTAAAGCTGTAAAATGATAAAGTTGGAGACACGCGCAAGGGATAGACCTGAGAAGAAAAGTAGTTTATATGTTCCGAGCAACAGCTTGGCGGAACGACGACTAGTGGAATCCACGACCAAAGACAAAACTTAATAAACTTTAATAGATTTTCAGCAGTACGTCAGTTAATCAATCCAAGTTCGACACGTCATCTAAAATAAAACTGTCATATACGTGGTGAAATATTACTGATTGCCTTTATTTTATTTTATTTTTTTACATCCTCTTAGTATAAGTAAAGGAGAGTAAGATATTTGATTCAAAATCAGGTCTGTAATATCTTTTCAAAGATTTGGAGACTACTGATTGCCTTTACATTGTTATCTAAGACCGACTTTACGAAATGTAACATTATTTTCTTCAGGTACAACAAAAACCTATCTGAGATGACTTGTCACTGATTTTTCTCTTTATATCTTTTACATTTCTTTATGCCATTTTTTAATTTAATAATAATAATTTAGAAATACAAAAAATAGACATGCTTTCTTTTGGTCACTGTTTTTTTTTATATGTTCTGACAAAATGTAATGTAATATATGCATGCAATTATTTGTTTTATACAGTTATTTCGACTTACTTTTTGTGTGCATCTCCTTTTGGTCCCAGAAATAAACTGAATCTTACTAAATTGGAACTGCATGCTGATTGCTTCAAATGCAAGTTATGCCTATCAGTTCTGGAGCTTTCTAATAATTCATTGACTGGATTGCCTGCTGACCATGGTAAGGTTACCAAATTTAGGATCATTAGTTATTCAATTCTGACACATCCTTATTACGAATGCATAACTCATGATGCTCTCATGATGCAACAAAAGCATAGGTTTTCACTGACCATATCTTCTTTTTGATAATCATGATGAATGTGTTTTAGTCAATCTAATTTGTTGTTCTGTCTAGGCAAGATGACTGCTCAGCGAAAACTTTTGCTCAGTGGAAACCTTTTGCGAACTTTAACAAGGTCTGAGGCATTGAGGGAGTTATTTGTTGTATAAGTTAAGTGTTCTTGTTAGTCATGACGTTATCAACTGATATTTTTTTCCCTGCAGTTCACTGGTTTCTGGACCTACACCTTGTTTATTGAGATATCGTAGAAGTAGACTTTGTGAGGGCGCAGGTAGCTTTATTTTCAATGCACATTCAGCATAATACCCTTTTAGTTCATAGTCCTTATTTGGCATTTCTCTTACTTCCTCCTCATTGCTGCTGATGGTGTTTAAAATTTCAAATTGCCATGATTTTGGGTTCCCTATCATATCTTATTTCAAGTAATAATAATGAACCTTTTGTTGTAGATGAAGCTAAAACTCCTGCCAAAGAGGAAGTAGTCACTATGGCAGCTTGGTTGTCTCTTACTTCAAAGGTATCTCCTTTACTATATCAACTCGAAAATTTGTTTTGACATTTGACTCTGATCTTCTATCTGAGTAAATTGTCTATTTTGTTTGTGATCTTATTACTCTGGATGTAGAACCTAGTAGGTCGTTTCAACTAATTACTACCATCTACCACTTTGTCTGAGGATATTGGCTAATACTTTTTTTGTCATTGGAACGTGGTTTGCGTTACTGGATGCATGGATCCAGAAATATAGAGCATCTTACGAAATTGTGAATTTGAATTACTGCTTAAATGGAAAATTGATTTTCAAATTCTAGAACTAATGTTATCTCAAATTCATATTCATATAAGCACTAAATTTTTTTAGTTTCATGTATTGTCTATGTCATTTTTGTTGGGATATGATTCACATGTGAGTAAAAAATCTCATATCATTAAGAAATTTGAATGAGATGTCCTATATATGCATGAAGGATTTAGGAACCTAATGGTTTAAATTTTTAGCTTAAGTGGGGTCCAACATGTATGTATAGGCTATCTGGTATGCTTTTATGGATTTCAAGTGTGGTTTATCTCTCACAATCAATAATCAACAATGCAAAAAAAATAAAACAAGTTAAGATTTACATGAAAAACCCTCCAGTATAAATGTTAAAAACCACGAGATCAACTTTCGTTTAATCAACTCTTTTTTCTCCTTTTTCTCTCTATTTTTTGATTTTGCTTTTTCTCCCTTCGGCACCTCCTCTGTTTCTTTTTTTTTTTTTTTTACCAAAAACCAACTTTCACCTTTTATTATTTATGGGCTCTCTGGTGTGCTTACATGGGTTCTAAATGTGATTTATCTCCCCAACAAGTGGTATCAGAACCAGAACCAAGGTTATGGGTTTGAGTCACAATAGTGTTGTTGGAGGGAGATTGTTGGCAGATCGAAAATTGGCCGTATCCATCAACTCCATGTGCTTGAACTCCGATATTAAAAGGTTCAACTTGGATGCAATGAGTATATGATAATATGCAAAAATAGAACACTCAAGTGAGCAATGTGTTAAGTCAACTTGGAGTGTAAGCTTGAGGGAGCATTGAGACAACCTAGGAAGCTAGGTTGAGTGCTATGCCCTAGCCTAAAAAGTGCACTAGAGATGTAAGGTTACCTGACCCAAAGGAGACGTTAAGAGGACTTACTTGCAGGGGAAACCGAGGTGGGACTTGATCAAAACTCACAAGTGTACGGGAGAGATGTTCTATATATGCATGAAGGACCCAAGAATTTAATAGCTTAAGCTTTTGAGCTCATGTGGTGTCTAACATGTATGTATGAGCTATTTGGTGTGCTCACATGAAGAAGCTTGAACTCTGCAATAACTTAGTCAGAATGGGTTCCTTGGCCAAGGTAAATTCTAAATAAAGTTGCTATGGTGATGAATCTCTTCTTAATAGGACTAGAGGTAGAGATTGTTAGGAAAATGGAGTCCAACCCCATGGGTTATTTGACTATTCAAAGGCCATGGACTTTATGTTTTTAGGCTTACTTAAAAGAGCTCCGTAATAAAAGGTAAAGGCTTGTTTTTGGTAAAAAAAAAAAAGGGAGAAACATAGGAGGTGTGAAGAGAGAAAAAAAAAAGAGAGAATTGGTTGAACAAAAGTCAATCCGTAATCTGACACCGAAGAGAGAAAAAGCAAAACTGAAAAATAAAGATCAAAGAGAGAAGAGAGTTGGTTGAACAGAAGTCAATCCGTGGTCCGATTGAGCTAAAATTTTATCAGTAGGTTTATAATTTAGAGTTTTACATTCTGAACGGTGAAAATCGAGTTTGAAGAGCTCTAGGAACAAATCTAAAGTGTATTTGTTAAGTCATCTATTTGGTGAGATTTCTCCAATTATCTTTTTAGTTATTAATTAGCTTTAGTTTTAACTAAAGAAGAACTTTGTATATCTATTATTTGATAGTGAAGATTTTTCTAGTGATATGTGATTTTTTTCCTCTATACTGGAGGATTTTTCATATAAATTATTTTATTTTTTTTTGCGTTGTTGATTATTAATTGTTGTCTATTATTATGAATTTATTGTGATATATTGCTTTTGCATTGTTGTGTTTATTGCTTCAGACCCAACAATTTTCAACAATCCATATCCAAATTCACTCTCTAAGTTCTTCGCATCCAATTTAAGAACTAACATATCTTGTACATGTACTTTCAGGAACTCCCTCTAGAAGGCATGGGTTTATGTGTTTTCCCATCCGAAGTAAGGGAATCAGGTGAAATCATAAAAGTTAACCTTTCTAGAAATTCCATCAAAGATCTGCCACTTGAACTCTCCTAATGTTTATCCCTTCAGGTATTTGCTCTCTAGTTATCATTTCTTCTTTAAGTATAGATTTTGATTCGGATGAAGTAAAATAATATGTGCATCCATGTTTGTGAATTGAGAAAAAAGACATTAATATTGTTGCTTGAAGCTTCCAAAGGACTTTTGCTTATGAGATCAATTCTATAGGCATGAAGTTTAGAGTTCATCCTTGATGTATTATGTATGATCTCTGCCTGACTTTTAGCTAATGACAGATCGGCCTGGTGGAAAGCAGATTGTTCGTGCTTTCTTAAATCGTTATCTGGTTTAATTGATGATATGCAACTCTCTGGTAACTCGTATTTAAATTTGCACATTTTAATTTTATCGAGGAACAATGTTAAAGACTGGCCAGTTACTATTTTGAAGTCACTTTCCAATCTTTATTGTTTGAAGCTGGACAATAATCTACTAAGACAGGTAACCAGGTTTGAATAATGATTCTGTCATATACAAAATACATAAGATCATGTGGGAGAAACATGAAATTAAAACTGTTCTATAAAATTTTTCTTCTCCCTCAAATATTCTTTTTCCCCTGCCTTCTAATCGTTAACTATAGAGGGACTAATGCATGCTTGTGCAGATAAAATAGTCTAAATTCATGATTGCCTCCTAGATATGTGCAAATAAAATATGCTCAATTGGTTACAGAATGCTATGTTCTTTCAATAATGGATCATCAATCTTAAGTGGCTTATGCATCAGATGATTGGATTGATAGGCACCGGAATCTCTGTCTAAGAACATTGAAATAATCAATTATTGTAGGATTGGTCATGTGTTAAGACATTTAAACTACTGCAATAGGTTGCATATTTCAATTCTTTGCTGCTAGGCTAGATTGGCTATACGTAAAACTTTCAGGGGAATACAAGGACATTTGAAACTAATACCAATAATTGTTTCTGCATCTCAACACATGCATGTTCCTATTTCCATCTGAATGAGCTGAACTATCTCTGATTTACTTGATTATAAGTTCCTTCCGATGGATTCCAAGCAATCTCTATGCTCCAGATACTAGATCTAAGTGGGAATGCCGCTTCATTACCAGAGAATCTGGTATTTTCCAGCTTACCACACTTGAAGGAGCTTTATTTGAGGTTTGTGTTCTGAAAGTAATGAGATGCATGTGCACATGCAAAAGTACAGACACATTGATTTGTTTTTATCGCCAATTTCTATTATTATTATTATTATTATTTTTTTTTGCAACATTAGCTATTTGTCTTACTTCTATGTTGACTTGACAGACGAATGCAACTACGAGAAGTACCTTCAGAGACAATGAGCTTATGTCAACTGCAAATCCTGGACTTGGGCTAAAATTCCCTTCAATCAATCCCAGAGGTGAAT